TGGCAGTCAGTGTATGTAAGTGTTCTGTATAAGGAGCAGATGTAGCTCCCACTTATCCAAGCACAGAGAGGAACTGAGCAATGCACTGTAGCTCTCAGGCAGCTCTGCAGGATGATGCTCTGTGCTCCCAAATCAAGCAAAAAGGCAACAGAAAATGATGTTAAGTATTGGGCAGGGACACGGATGTACTCCCAGTACTGAAAAAGCTCAGTAACAGCTTATCTCCATCTTCTTCTGTCAGTTTTCAGCCAAGCATACAGCTGAACAAAGCCTTTTTCCTTTGCTTTTACTCAAAGGCAATGCTACCCCTGTTGCTCACTGGTGACTCAAAACTCAACCATGTGCCTGCAGCGTACCTATCTCAGAAAAGGCTGTTTCACAGCTCTCAGCCTGCTGCTGTGATGTACAAAGCTGGGCTGTGACCACTCGTGACCATTCAAAGAGGGTTTGTGTGGTTTAAGTTCCTCACCCAAAGCTCTTGTGGCCAACCCTGCGGTAGTGCAGGAACATCCCAGATTCTGGGACTCATTTCAGCCTCAGGGACTCCCCAGTGGTACAGAAGTTGGCTGCTCTGCTCACTGCTCCTGCTGCATGGGCCAAATTGCTGGCAGGCAGAAGACAAGAGGAGAGGACAGAAGGGGATTTTTCTTTTTGGTTGGGTGGTTTATTTGAGTGTGCACAGCTGGTAAATTTTCCCTGGGCAATTTCTGAGCACCCCTCCAACTTCTCTAACCTTTGCCAAGTGTCTGACAGAGCCAGGGAGCCACAATGGGGTTTCTGGAGGATGCAGAAGCCAGATGCAGCAGGCAAACACCACATATTTCCCAAGGAGTCAAACACAACATCGTAGGCAAGAAGAAAAAAGGACAAGCTGCTGCCGCAGCACTTCTCTCTTGCTCTGAACTTTGCAATTCTTCAAGCAGCCACAGAAGAGGGACTCCAGAAGTAGCGTTATAAAATTAAGATTTAGATGAACAAACAGCCTGTCCTGATTCCAGCCTGTACGTTAGCATCCTGCCACACCGAGTCTGAGGGCAGCTGGCACAAAGCCTGCCCAGCCCCTGCAGCCAGCCAGCATGGGTTTTGTAATTAGAAGCATCAAAACCTCTTGATGCCGCAGAATGTGGGTCAGCACATATCGGCTTGGTGCCAGCATGGGATGAAGGTGTCATCCATCGCGATGCTACCCAGGGCTGCGAGCTTGGAACATCTCATGCTATTGCAGTGACTGGACTACAGCAAGGCAGGGAGAAAGCTAAATATATACCACTTTAAAAAGCAGCACTCCCCTGCTCTTGTTTAGCATGCATCTGTTGAAAGGCACAGAGAGGCTCTAACTACAGAAAGAAAAATACAACCTAGCACACCATCCTTGAAACATTTCCAACATGCAAATACCCACAGCTGCTTATACTGCGGCACTCTCAGAAGGAGATCTGCAAGGGGGTCACATCTATCCCTGCTGCTACTGCAGAGAACCAGCAGTGCTGGGCTGGAGAACCACCTACATGAGCCCAGCTCCAGGTTCAGTTCAGGAATCAGGGCACCTGTGTTGTAAATTGGCCCTGTGTAAAATAGAATCATAGAGTAGTTTGGGTCGGAAAGGACCTTTAGATCACCTCGGTCCAACCCCCTGCCATGGGCAGGGCCACCTCCCACTAGACCATAGGCACAAGTTAGGAACAGAAACTGGTCTTCCAGCCACTTGGAGGAAGACTAGCCTTGCCTCATCCTCCCAGTCAGTCAGTCTTACAATAAATGACAGAGAAGAAGCGACAGAACAACAAAAACCCTTAACCCTCCTGCTCCTGTTTCTCGTAGGTTATACACCCAGCAATGTGCCTCTCCTTTGGGTGTCAGGAAAGCCTGTGAACAGAGCGGCTGTCCCAGCACAGTCCCCGTGTGCTTGCAGACAGCTCTTACAGGCTGCTGCTGGAGCTCAGCCACCGCTTGGCGAAGCTCCCCAGAGTGCAACTGCACTGCAGGATGGAGGGAGAGAAAATATCCTAGCAGCAAAGCCTGAGCTGCAGTATCAAAAGCTTGCAGAAGCCAAACCAACCAAGCACAGAACCAGTCACAGACATTTCTGCCAGCCTGAGAACAGAAGGAATGAAACTCTTGTGGTCCCTAAGCTGCCTCAGCCATAAGGAGAGCTTTCAGTATCCTTCAGCCTGACCAACACAAGAAGAGCTGGGTACGATCTGCACGCAGATCTCAGGACACCCAAAGCTGCAGAGGGACCTGCCCCACTTCCAGCTGGATTCCACCAGCACAAGGGATGGACCATGGAAAAGAACTGAATTTAACTGAGACTTCAGAGTAGACAAAATTTAAGTCTGCTAGAATTGTGTTTCTCCTACCAATGACAACTAGGTGAACAATCCTGCTTCTGCATCCTTAACATCACAAGTACATGCAAGCCTCAAAACAGCACAGCCAACTGTTGGGATTTTGGAGTTCAGAGATACAAACGTGGTATTGGATCCTCTCAGGACCACGACAGTTCACAAGAGATGCTTCTTCAACACAGATGGCATCCGCCCCCCAGCTGCTGGCAGAGCCACAAGTTTTCCTCCCGTCTGGATAGCATGGAGAGCTTGGTGTGCCCATCTTCCTTGTATCAAAGAGACACTAAGGAGAAGGCAAAGGAAGCAAGCATGAAAAACGCACTACCAAAAGACTTTTTGTTTCAGCCTAACTCTGTGGAGAAGCAAGAGAGAAATCATCAGTGATTTTCCTTTTGTCAATCCATCTTAGGAAGTACAATCTACTTCCACAGCAAGATGCAAGAAACCGTTGATGCACAGGGATAAGGACACTAGAGCCATCTGCAAGGGGCACCGCAGACATCACAAAACTCTGGCCACCAAATCCTGCAGTAATAGGATACATCTGTCCTTGGGCTAGTCTGCTGGTCAGGGGAGAAAGAGGCAGGATATTGTGCATGGAGATGGATGGGTCAACATTGTGCCCAGAGTGTGAAGAAAAGTAGGAAGCCTGGCCTGTGTGAGGTGAAAGAACAGCAATCCTGGTTGAGTGTGGACAGGCAAGAGCAGGCAGATTTTGTTCTTGATTGTCACAAAGGGAGCCCCCTCCAACTCCTCCACCATTTGAGGCATTACTATTTCATAATAACTCCTTATTAAATCACAGCCCTGACCTTTCAGATCCTCACCCACACAAGCACTTCTGAGTCCTGAGGAAATCCCATATGAAGCATCTTCCCCACATTCCCTAAACCAGGACCAGGGGTGATCCCTGAAGACCAGTTCAAGGTGGGAGTAGAACCTGAAAGGCCCCAACCATTCAAGATGGTCAAACATATGCAAGCCTTTCCCTTTCCCTACCTTGGAGGAGACAGGGTTAAAAACAAACAAAGAAGTCTTTGCTGAAGCTGCTTTTATGAAATTAATAAAAAATAACCCCAAACCAACAAAACAATGGCTCTGCCACCTTCAGTTACATTTGCACCATCTCCTCCCCTAGACCTGCAGGATCACTCTGTCTGGGAGCACCTTCCTGCTGGCTTCTCCTTGGGATATCTCCCACAACAGCAGAGGTGTTCCAGCAATAGGAAAGGTAAGAGGCTGGGGATTTTATCCTGGAGAAAAATAATCCTAGCAAGACGATCACAACATAATCAAGAGTGTGCCCCTCCACAACACACGGTGGCTTCGCCCATCCCCAAATCATTTCTGTACTTGTAGGAACTGTGGAAGCTGCTGCCAGAAGCCATTTTAGATCAAAACCAAGATCTGGGAACATTGCATAAATGGATGCGCTTTTTTATTGTCAGGCAAGGCAGTGCCACTCACTCCTGGGCCTTCCCAGATTTAGCATTTGAGCATCATCAAATGGGAGGTAACAGATGCACCACTAAGATACTTCACAGACACAAGAGGTCTCCTCTTTTGCCTTTACTATAAAAGGCTTTTTGTGTGATGTAGGAAGACAATAACTCTTCTTAATGGCTATTACAAGAAGATTAAAAATACAAAGTCACTTTGAGTATGAGCATGGGTACTCATGAACACTTTGTCCCACACACGGTATGATTTCAGGTTTGGGGAACACAGAGTCTTCCTACCCAAACATTGACAACTCATGCATGGAGCCCTACGAACCCTCCCCATATTTCTGTTCTGAGCACCTCTTGCAATGCTTGAATACATCATCCAGCTGCTCAGAGCCTCGCACACCATTTTCACACCACCACTATGCAACCAAATCACACTTCTCTCTTCAACAAGAGACACCCAGCTAAAGCACCAATACTGGGAGGATCTGAGCAACCAGCACTCACCAGTTTGCTGATATTGAAATTATACCCTCCAGACCCTCCGTAAAGAATGGTTTCACAAAGATAGAAAACCCCCTTGGTACTCTGCAGGACTGGATCCTAAAAACCCAAGTTCAGTTCACCCTTCTTGCTCCCTGGATGGTACAGCACGTTCTGGCCACCCAACCCTCTCAGTCTACAGGGTCTACCCCAACTTAGTAGTGGTTTACTCTATGCTCTATGGGAGACAATACCTTGTCACTTGCTTTCATGGAGGAGATTATTTGACATTTAGGCAAAAAAAGACAATCTACCAGCTTGTCCCTAAACCCCAGCATTTCTGCATTACAAGTAACCCAGCATCTCATATAGCTGATAAGCAAGCTCTGTTTTGATGCAGAAGGGCTATTTGAAAAGGTAGAGGAAATCAATGGGTAGAAACTGGCATTTTTTTGTAGCCTTAGAAACTTGGAAGAGTCTGGGGAACAGACAAACTATTGACTTCCCAGCATCGTCTCAACTGTACTTATTAAATAAGATCCCACACGTCATATAAACTCTACCATATGCGTGCAGAAGAAAAAAAGATTTTCAGGCCTTTTATAAATGAAACCTCCTCTGTGGCTTAAAAAAAAACATATGATGCTAAAACTAAAATATTAGAGAGGCTGCAGCTGCACAAACAAATAAATGCTGTTTACCAGCAGAGGTATTTACTTACTGACAGTCAAGAAACGTTGGTTTATAATAAAACGGTGGCATTTTAGATTCATATTTTGCTTTTGCTACATTGTTCCCATTCGCAGCCATAAACTGTAAAAAGAAAAAAAGCAGAAAGAATTAAAAAATGTTAACAGTATTTTCCTTTGTCCTCTTTTGCACCTACACAGTAATAAAATTGTTGGGATGGAGCCTCTGTTCCCTTACTAAGAGGTTTCCCCAGGACTGTACACAGAAGGGACGCTGTAAAGACTGTGCCTGCAAATCAGGGCTCAGAAATTAATGTTGTTTATTACTGCCAGGGCTCACAGCTTAACATGATGCTGAGGACAGGTCCATGTCCCAGTCACACGTGCACAATCCCCACTGGTCCCCACAGGAGCAGAAGGCAGCACACGGTGGCATTTCCCACTTGCAGGCATAGGAATGAGATTACTCCCAGGGAATCCAGCACAGAAATTAGGTAACCAGAAGGCAAAACCTGACACTGACTTCAAGTCCCTGTGTGTTACGGTTCCAGAGAGGTAACAGTCTCCGACAATGCACCTTTTGTTTTGGATCACATCACTTGTTCCGAAAGGAGAACTTTATTTTTCCAAAGCCGTGCCAGCAAGCTCAGGGGTTTGAAGCATCTAATAAATGAATAAATAAACAAACAAACATCCTATCTGCCCTGACAGCCCTCCTTCCCTTCTGATCTCGGATATGAAAGTCTAGTCGAGAACTCTGCAAACAAACCCACATATTCCCCTATTCATAAATTTTATGTAATGAAAGTCACTTTGTAAGTGTAAAAAAAAAACCCCATTATTTTCCAGGCAGCCATTCTAAATACGTTTTGTCTTGTATCAAATGCCAAGCATACAAGCATAACAAGCAGCAAAGTGCTTCCCCCCCCCCTCCCCAAACATTTTTTCCCCATTATTTTAATGGTTTTGAGCTTCTCAAGTTTACATATTCAATCTGTTCTAAAAAGAAAATCAGGGAAGGGAAAACCCATGCAACACAAAGGCCTATTTTTCTCATAAAACACATGACACTCTGAGCTGTGGCTTTCATAAAAACCTCAAATCTACAACATACAAGAACAAGATAAAGATCAAAGACTGGCAGCGTTCTTCATGCCTTTAAAGGCGCCAAGAGTCAAAGTAGATGGGTTTTCTGGGTAGGCTTATCCTTAGCAACATCACCCAAATCTAGGCAGGTGTGTGGCTTAAAGAGAATCTATACTGTAAGGGTTCGGTTCTTCGAGATGTGAGTTTAAGGGTCTTCAACACTAAGTGGAACAAAGCCAGGAACTGGTGAGCTGGGCAGGGGTGGTAGACTCAAGGGCTAGCCTACTGCCTGGTCTAAGCTACAGGTAATGCAAGGAACAGCAGACAATTCATTTAGTTACTTCTACACACCCTGTTTCATTGATATTTCTACAGGGGTGGGGAAAACCCTCACAGCTTCTTTATGAAATGGCTACTCCATTTTTCAATCAGCACCATTGACCTCACTCCCACACTCAGGAATTATCTAGACATGTTTTCTAAAATCACTTTTGTTGTGGCATCTTTAGAAAGGATTCTGGTTTACAGCTTTGCTGGTTAAACACAGCACCCCAAGCTCACTGGTACTTCACACCTCAGATGCACGTACCTCCACTTGAGCATCATCCCAGTCATCCAGGCGGACTGACTTCACTTTGCTGACTTGGGGAATATTGCGATGGATTCCTGAACAATTTAAGCAGATGAAGATCCCTAGGTTGTGGGATGCCCAGTCCGGGTCTGAAAGCAAGAAGGAAAGAGAGAATTGCACTTGACTGCTCTACGGGATTCAGTGCTGAAGGAAGGAGAGGTGGGGCAAGATAGGTCATGGAAAGTGAATTCAGAGACACCAGGTCCACGTTCCTTGACTGTAAAGGTATCAAATAAATAAACAAGCAAAATAGATATATGTGCCATTTATATTGATAGTAATACAAATTAAAGTAACAGACCTGCAATCTCAAGTGTAGCTGTTATTCACAAAAACCTAATACACAGACAATTCGTATGCCCAAGAGCTCCTAAACAACACGCTCACATGAAGACAAGAGGTGAATGACCATCTTTCATCAGCGAATCCCACCCAAGTGCTGCATGGAACAGAAACTGCACAATTAAACCAAACAGCTCAGGGATGCCGCTATGCTGCTCCCTTGATTTGCTATTTTTTTGTGTTGGTTTTTTTTCTTAATTTTCATTTATTTTTTATTTTCTTTATTTTTGACAGTGGGAGCGTTCCGCAGAGAGACTTCCCTCCCACAGCTACAGCACAGCTCTCCATGCCAGGAGGTTTCCAGCCCTTGCCTTAATGGAAAAATGCCACCAGTGGCAGCTCTGTACTTTCTCCGAGCAGAACCACGCGCTGTTTACAGCCCCGAGCTGACGTCTCACACAAAGCACTTTAAACACAAGTCCCTCGCCTCCAAATTCCTCCTCGGGAGAGGCACTGCCTGAAGCGCAGGGCAATGGAGAGGAACTGGAGGAGGGCAGGGGCCAGGGCAGGACACATCCACCAGTGTCCCCAGCACTGCCTCGCTAATAAAGCCAATACAGGGATCTTTGTTTGAACTCTGACTAGCAAATGTCAGTGCCTGCTATTCCAGCTGCGTCCCAGCAGAGCTTCCTTGCAAGTCACCAACTCAGCCTCTAAACCCTTCCCCTCTACCCATCCTCCCCCAAACCCCCTCCATCGTATGGGGCTGTCGAGGGGTAAGGGCAGGTCCTCTCTTCTCAAATCTGTTTATTCCCCTGCAGTAATTACACTAAACACTCCTCACAGTGCAGCTATTATTTATAAAAGCAAGGCAAAGTGCTTTCTCCTCCTTCTACATATTTAATGGTCTGGCTATGTCAGTGCAGCAGGAGCAGGCTGGTATGGGGCAATGCAGCTCCTCTATACAAGGTACCGAGGTCTGCTACCAGCCCCTGCCCGCAGGGATGGCCACCAACCTCCCCCTGCACACATTAGGGAAGAGAAATTTGGTTCCCCAGAGGTGGCTGTGTTCAGATATAAATGAGGAGCCTCAATGGATGTGGTTGGGTGCCTACCCAGGAGAGGGGAATAAATTCCCAAGCTTTTATAAGTCCCATCCACTGCAGCTTGATTGGCACGGGGCTGGGACCAGCAGCCACAAGTAAAGGTGTCTGCTGTTTACATGGTCTCCCATCCTCATGCAGGACCCTGATGACTCCTGCAGAGGCCTGCCAAATACAGAACCAGTCAAGTCAATCTAAGTGCATTGCAGCAGCACCCAAGTATGGGCTCTATGCCCACATACAACCACACCAGTGAGGACACAGGGTGAGGACCTGATCACAGCTTCACTGAGGTCAGGCACCCCAGTTACTCTGATCGCAGAGAGTGCTGCCAGTTATTGAACTATGAGTTGGCCACAAGAATCAAGGGGTTTGCACGCCATGCTCATGCATGTTTCTGTGCTTTAACTCCTCATATTGTCCTGTCCCATCTCCAAACACCTGGCTGTAATCAAAGTCTGCCTCATGGTAGGCCAGGACCATGGCACCGAATGAGGAGAGTCACACAGGGTGAAAGCATTCTGGACTTTTGTTGAAAAACCCATCTCTTGACTTCCATGTAAAGGATGAGGCATGAGGAAGGGCAAAAGGGTCTGGAGGATGAGGAAGCCACAGAGCAGCAGCAGCAGCAGCGAGGAAGCAGAAGATGCAGCAGTGAAGTTTGGAGCTGGGAGCTAACGTGGCCACCAACTCCCTGTGCTCAGAACAGCCACTTCACAGTAACTGCTCCAAGCCTCCCCAGTGCAATGAGTTGTGATCAAAGCAGTGCCTGACACAGGGAAATGGATATCAAAGTATGCATTTGCCTCCGCAGATTTTACCAGGAGCCCCAACACTTGTTTTGTGTTGACAGATTTATCTTAGCACACAGGTGGATTTCTTCATGTTGTCTGCAACTTCCTAGACTTGAAGAAGCAACCCTTTCGCTGCCTGCCCTGCTGTGAGCGACAGGACCAGGAGACATCACACCTTCCTCGAGCCAGGAATGAGGACACATTTGGGTGAACATTCTGGAAGAATATCCTCAGGCTCCGATGGAGGAGACTGCAGCTCCAGTGGACATTAAGCCAACTCATACCCAAGCATCTCTTCTAGACATGGGTAAACAACACCTCAAGCAATAGGTTTTAATCACAACTGGGGCCTTAAAGCATTCTCCTCACACCAACAGTATTTTCTTTAGACAAGACTCTTAAACATGCTTCCCCCCTGCTCCACACCACGTCAAACCATGTCTAATTAGGGAAGCAAAAGCTGGAGTATATCACAGAACCACATATTCATGGTCACATGCACATGGTTTTTCATCAGAAGATGGTAGTATCTTAGAGGAACAGAGACAAGAGGGTCAGTGATGACCCAGCCCTTGGAAGGGATGCTGTCAGCTTGTTCAATACCTACACCTGCTGCTGTCTCCTTCTGGTGTCCTTCCTTTCACTGTTTCCTCTCTTGCCTAGACCCAACCTCCATGTCCATCCAACACCAACAGCATCCCACACAGCAAACTTGAAGGAGCACCATGACAGGGCAGCACATTTCACTTTACTCCCCAGACCTGATACCAGCAGTTTGCATTGCTGTCCTATATTAATAACAACTTCCTCTTCATTGCTCTTCTGGTTTTAAAAGTATGTATCTTTTAAATCCAAAATCATGCAGCAAGGGTGGATGGAGGAGTTGTAGATGCTCGGCTGGTTGTGTGCTGCTTTCCTGGGACATCCACAGCCCAGAACTACACAAATTTGGCAACTGTTTTTAACGCCAAAGGGAACACCAGGCAGGAGGAGAGTTTAGAGGCCTCAGGCACTGAGTTACCTCCATCCAAAAAACTGCCAAGTAGCAAAATGCCCCAGAACCGACAGATCTACCTGGGGAAGTGCCTCTGAAACATCAGTGTTACTATAATGTATTAGAGATCTCAATGAACTTGCTCTGCTGGCTGAAGACGTGACTGAGAAAGCAAGCCAGCCCGAGCCTTTCCCCGAGTTTAGCTGAAAGCCAAAAGGCATTTCTAAGCGTTAGCTGAACAAGCCAGAGGGTTATGGACCCAGCCAAGCCACTGGTGTGACCCACCGTGCCACCACACCGCCTGTGGGCAGGAAGGATGAGGGCGGAGGATTCCCTGAATCCATCTTCTGGAGGGTTCTGCCTGTGCTGCTTCCCCTTCTCACCCCTGCCCTGAACTTGTGACACCGTTTTCGAAGAACCCCATAGCTACGAGACTGCTGCATCAGACCCCTGCAGGAACTGGTGACAGACGCCCAGGCAGATGGCTGCGGCGAGCACCCACCTCTGCAGGGATGCTTATCCAAAGCCCTTTTATATGATTTGGGGCTGCCAGGGGCTACTCAAGCACATCACAGTCCCCCTTCCCTTCATTCCTGCACTCCCCCACAAACAACAGGAGAATTCTCAGCTCAGGAACAAGGTAGATAACGCCAGTGATCTGCGACCTTGGCATAATCATAGACTCCAACCCTTCAAATGACTGTGCCATCTCTTTGAGATAAGACATCAAGCACACAAATAAAGTCACACAAGTGTATTCATACGAGACAAGTGAGTTTTCGGGCAGCACATTTAGTGAACCCTCAGCTGTATGGGTGGCAAGCTGCGGTCTCCATAGCTAGGTGAAGTCCACCTTGCTGCTAGGCACTTCAACAGCTAGAACATGTTCTCCGTGCTGGACATTGCTAGGGAGTTCAGTAATTTTATTTAAGCCATTTTATTTGGGCAGGGCTCAAAAAAGTGCTCCAAAATGGCAATATATCATAACCTGGACCTTCTGGGTATCACCCAAAAGAGATGCTTTTTTTCTAAGCCTCCAGAGTTTCCAGCAAACAGCAGGGAAGCCTACTGAAAACTCTCCAGCATGCCTAAGTTCCACACAAATTACTTTATTCCATTATTTCAAGCCAAAAGGAATAAAGACTAACCAGGAGCAAGGGGAATATTAAACCAAATACACTGCTGTAAGTACAAAAAGTCTCTTATCCTGCAGCATTGCTGCTCCAGAACAACCGATGCCAGCCCTAGAAGGCTTTAACTGCCCAATGTAGTAGAGATTTCCGGTCACTTATAAACAGATTATAATGACTTTTAAAGCAAAAAGTTGCTGCAGCTTTGCTTTGAAAATTAATACATAAACAAAGCCAGACTAAGCTCAGGAGAAAAACTAACTTCCACACACAATCCCTTTTGCCACCACAAGCTCTAGGAAAACCAAGGGCAGAAAACAACGTACTCTGCAGCTTGAACCCAACATTACTGAGTGTAAGAACTGCCCATAGAGGGACAAACAAAGGCTGGACCCAGAAAAATACAAAGAACCAGTGTAAGAGAACATAAACATAGGGTTCCAGTTTGAAAACACCTAGGTGCCATCAACCCAAGTATAATCACACGAAGCAGAGCAGTAGCAGGCTCATAGTAGCCAGAAGACAAGAGCAAGAACTCAAGAGTCCCAAAACTTACTTGGATGCCCCTACTCCACCTTCTGCTTTAAACCACAGTTACTACTTTATGTATATAGTGGGATACATACCATACTAGTGGTATAGATAATATATACTCTATATATACACCATATATATAGCATATTACTGACCAAGAGAATGTCAGGGAGAACATGGGCAACGCACAGCAATACACCGTTAACACGTCTTCCAGCACACAAACCAAGGCCTGACCCTTACTTAGCTGCC